AACCGTTCTACATAATCTAAGAGTAGGGTTTTCCTAAATATAACCGATAAAGTAGATTAGATATCTGGCCCAAATAACTTATCCTTATTAGGACTTCGTGACTCATGATGTGTAACTCATTAATCATATATCTTTCTTATATCTCAACATGGACAAGAATGTCAAAATACAAAGTAAATTGTTCGAAAGACGTCAGTTAGAGTCACCCCTAATGGCAAGCGGACTCATATTTTTAATGACCTCACAGGCTCAAGCATCACTACTGCAATTACCTTTTAGTCATAAATTGTTTCCCTAAAAAGTTATATTCTTTTAAGTAGCAACTCGAATCTTTGTATAAACTTAATCAAACATAATTTTCCAATGCAGGATGAGGTGTATCGAATTATGATTTGAATTTTTCCAAATAAAAGGCACAAATGTGCACAAGTTAGGAAAGAAACTCATCTGCATGACTTCTTTTCTTAATTTACCTTGAGCACAACCACTCATTGTGCAAGAAGCAAAACACAACCAGTTAACGTGGGAACCAGATGCAATCCATGATTGCTGATTGCGCCGCAATGTCATGGAAGTGCAAACCAGAAGACCAAATGTACCTTTAAAGTTAGACAACATATAAAATTCAAATTACATTTCATGCATAAATACCAGAATTTATTGAATATCCGTCAGGAGCAACCATTATCCAATAGAAAATCAAAACTGATAAGAAAAAGCATAAACATAGAACCAAATTGACCTTAAACCTTCAAAATTAACGAAATCAAATTCCCAATCAAACTAAAACAATATACAATACCATTTCGTGGCAAAGATCGGAGTCGAATAGGATTCGATCTTTTTATCCATAACATAGCTTTCAATTTACGCAACCAAAGAACAATAAATCAAAACCAGTTTAGTGTTCATAATCAAATCAAACAAACAGAACACTGTCTTTTCAGTTTACATGAAGAAGAAGATGAAGAAAAAAGAAGTGAAACGAGAGAAAATTTCGAAGACCTTACCAGACAATTGGTACTGCAGTTTAGACCTGGGAGACTCCCTCACTACGCGTTTTCTCGAGAAAACAGACGATAAACATATATATATATATATATATATATATATATCCATCCGGCGGTCAATTGATTGTCAGCGTCTCAGATTTGACGACTCTTTTTTCTTTTTTTTCTTTTTTTTTTGTTTACTCTCTCTTCTTTTTGGTAAATTCCTTTCCTGAATTTTACAATTATTTTATTTACAGTGAAAATAAAGCGGCAATTCCATTATTTAAATGCAATATAAGGCTATTAAATATTTTTACCAGCTTTTTATTAATATTAGATTAATGTATTTTTTATATTATTTATAATTCATTCTTATTTTTAATTTTTATATTAATCTTAAAAACTATAAATTGGAACACTAGTATATAAAATACATAAGCTTGAGCGCGCCTTGAATAATAATTAGATTTTTAACTCATGTATAAGATATATTGTTGGAAAAAAAATTTATAATTATATAAAAAAAAAATATTATTTTACGTAAATAAAAATTTTATAATTATTTTAAAAAATAGCATTCGCAAAAATAAAATTCAAAGAAATTTATGATAATTTATACGAGCGGTGGAATATGAGGTTTAATTCGATGTAAAGTACAGAACGGATTGACACGCCGGGAATCCTCTTGAAAGAGAGGAGTGCTTTCGGGAATGCGGATGCAGGTGGTGCATCGATCTGCATTGTGTGAGATAAATTAGTGATCAATAATTTACGTATAGTATAATTTTAAAATATATAGTTAATAAAAATTTTAAATAAATAATTATTATACATGTAATTAATTAAAATTTTTATATTTTATTAATTGAATTTCTATTATTTTTTTAAAAAAATTGCATCTTTTTATAGCTTTATTAGATGTGAATTCTTTTACACCATTGAAAATATATTTTCTCATTCCATTTGAAATTCGAAATTCATTGTGATGCGAATTTTTACCATTTTGAACATCCTTTTATATTTGTTAGATGTACATTTGCACTTACAAAGTTGACTTCTCTGTCTTCTTCAAATAATATTTTTAGTTCTGCAGAATTTAATTATATAAATTATAAATCGCCTCTGTGTGTGTGTTTGCTGTGCAAATTGAAGACGAAAATTACCGGCAGCCCTGTATTTGGTGGCTCATAGAGGCGTGATGAAACCTCATTTGAAGAATAAAATGCGCAAAAACCAGTTCTATATATGCTTCGAACTAATCCCAGTTTTGATGCCATTTTATTCTCGATCAACAAAGAACATGAATATGAACTCACTGTATGTGTGTGTGTATATATATATATATATATATTGCCCCTGGTCTCTAGAGCATTTTATCAGGCCACCAAAAATTAAAGCTTCAAAGAAAAAGAAATGGAAGAACTCAATTTCAAACGTTTATCTTTCTTGCTTCTTGTAAGCTTAGGGACTGTCTGTTCTGCTAATAGATTACGCCTTAATGACAATGTTGTTAATCAGGGTTCTTCTGACCCTGTTGGTTCAGTGAGTGCTCTGAGTATTAATGGTGGTTCTGCCTCTGGTTCGATAGGTGCTGTGGCCATTAATGGTGATTCTGGTTCTGGGTCTGGATCTGGGTTTGGTTATGGTTCAGGTAGTGGTGGTGGTGGTGGTGGTGGGAGTTTAGGGTATGGTACTTGGGGTGGGTTGCCTGGTTTGGTCAATATTATTCCAGGATTCAGTATAAGCAGTACAGGATTTGGCAATATTTTTGGCAATAACAATGGTGGACCTGGTGGGCAAATGAGCGAACCTATTGGCTTCACCGGCTCGGTGAATGTTTTTGCTGGCAGTGGAAATAGACCCAGTACTGGGTCAGATCCTGTAGGGACTAGGACTCAAGGAAATGGTGCTGGCAGTATTCCAAGTTCTAGAATTGATAATGGTGGGTCTGGTCCTAACCCTGGAATTAACGCTGGCAGTGGAAATAAACCCAGTACTGGGTCAGATCCTTCAGGTACTAGGGCTCAAGGAAACGGTGTTGGAAATATTCCAAGTTCTAGAATTGATAATGGTCGTGGATCTGGTGGGTCTAGTTCTAATCCTGTAAGTATTGATGGGACTGGTCCTAATGCTGACGCTGTTGGTGGGTCTAGTCCTAACTCTGATGGTGGATTTGGAGGAAGTGGTCCTAACCGTGGATTTATAGGTCCTACCCCTGGTGGGACTGGTGGGTATGCAATTCCTGGATGGAGTTGGAGTGCTGGCCAGGCTTTGTATTGTACACCAGTGAGTTGTCTAAATGGGCGATGTGGAGGTGTTGGATCATACTTTGCCTTCAACAGCTTGCCCCAGATATTTGGAGGGATCAGCAATGAACCCACTAATAGAGGAGCATCAAATGGAAATGATAGCTCATCATCTGCGGTACTGGGAAGCGAAGGCGATGATTCAGAGCTGCGTGATCATGATCAACAGAAAACTGTAGCTGCAATGGCACCAGAGTCTGACTAGCTACTTTTTAACCTTGAGAAATAATGAAATGTAATAATGCCTTGTATAAGCAACTCTACCATTATCACAATAAGTGTGACCTTAAGCATTACGGTGGAGAAGCCAGATTAAAGGGTATATGCTATAAAATTAAGTGAAACATTACAGAGAAATGAACACACTTCATCAGTTACTATGCTTTATTTAACACAAGGTTTTAGGCATATTCGAGTACATTACTTCTTGAGCAGGCGATAAAGTTACAGCAAAGTTACTCACTGTCGACGAGAGCGGGAACCGCCCAGTTGGAAGCACTGCCAGTGCGGGGAATGCTGGGGAGTCTTGTAAACAAATCTACTTGGAAAACAACACCACAAACCTCCCCATTATCATCTTCTCTTGCAATTGCTTTAACCTTGCAAAGCGGATGATCAAAGCTTATAAGTCCACTTGTATTCATATATATGCACCCTGTCCAAAATCATCCTCAATTAGTTTGTTGATTTGGGTTTTTTTTTTCTAGGGGGAGGGGAATTGTCCTTGATATCAGGGACACTAGTCTTTCAATAGGGTAGGCCAATGACTCAAAAGTTAAAGGTTAAAAGAGAAAAGGTTGAAAGAAACTTACCAGGAGGAAAAGGTGCCCAAGATTTTCCACAAATTTGTTTCATAATGTTGGAATCATCAGAGCAAACCAAGGACCCATCTCCAGTCATTCCCCATTTGAATTCTACACTCCCCTCGCGGTCCTAATCCACTCAACAAAGCATTCTTAAAAATAAGAAAAAAAACTAACATGGGTAATTGGTACTGTAATAATATATATATATATATATAGAGAGAGAGAGAGAGAGGAAGGGTGAACTTACCCTGGCTGCAAAAAGAATGGCAGATTTAGCGTCAAAGAGAAGGAATGCAAATTTTCCATGAAGATCCTTGATGACTTGATCAGATGGATAAGGTGCTCTATCTCTTAGTACCTTATAAGCTTCAATCACAAGCACTGGTTCTGCAGCTTGTCTTGATAGCCCATAGTGTCTCCTAAGCTCACACATATTCTCTAAAGTCCCAATGAAGATGCAGAAGACGTTGTCTATTACAACAATGGATCTGTTTCTCAACAAATCAGATACCCATTTATGTTATATGCTACTTGGGTTGAAAATTTGATTGTTGCATCAAAAAAAGAAACACCCAGATGCAAAATATAATGTAAGCAACAAGAACATGGTACCCATGAGAAGATAAAAAGCTTTTTCAGTACCTTGGATCAAATGGAGTTTCATGTTCATGTGATAAAGCCATTAAGTTACCATTTGGGAGGTAGTACTGTGTGGAATCTGGCCAAAATGACCGGAAAATCTCCACAATTTCTTCCCGGGTTTTGATAACCTTGGATTCCTTCGAAGGAAGCCTCAGCTCTTCAGGGGGATTTCCTGTTGATTTCTCAAAAACAGCCAACATTTTCAACCAAGTAACAAAGAGTTAATTGCAGGATCAATGGAGAGTATTATGATAAAAGTTATGGCATCCCTAAATGGAGTTGATGGAGAGTTTCATGCTTATCTCTAGTAGTTGTAACTGAAAGAGTGAAGAGGTTTTTTTATTGTAGCTGAAAGACAAGAGTGTATACGTGAGGATATGAATGGCAGTTCACAGTTTGATTATATGCAGCCAAAAGGAACAGGCATAATGCCAAATTTCTTGGTTTTGTTTTTCTTCAGGTAGAAAGACAAGTCAAATCACACTTTTCAAAACATAGAAAGTTTTCATTGCAGGAGTAGTTCCTATTTTAAACTATGTGGAGGAAGAACTTCTACCTGTATCTAAGTAGGATTGGGTAATAGATTCACTACAAAATCAATAGTTATAATTCAATCTAACATTTTGTAGAGAGTAGAAACTCCTAAGCTTATGCTAAAATAATTTATTATATCAATTGCACTTCTCACCTTTATTAACTTCTCAAAAGAAGGTCATCCCCAAATTTAATTCTCCACAAATTAAATTGTAAAATATATATTTGGAAATTTATGTCTGATGAATCAACCCTAAATCAAATTCTGTGGATATAACTTACTTCTCTTCAATTAGTGAAAAGAATTTTAGATAAGACAATGGACGGCTGGGCTTTGCCATCATATAGCCAGGGGACAAACCTTTCAAGAAAATACTATTTCTGTCAACTAAATAAAATTCAAACCCCAATAGTGACTTTTTCATGAAAAGAAAAATTAATAGAAATATCAAAAAATAAACAAACATTTTTCATTAGATGGATCCAACGAAGTACCAACCATGTCTAGGACTGGAAGTTCTCTTACCATTATAATTCTATGCAGAAGAGAACAAGTGTATCAAGTTTTCTTCAAATGAAGTTCTTAATGCTAACAATGCATCCGCAACAACGATTACTCCAAAAATACACCAAAATAGCAAGATTGCGCTTATTTCACATATCAAAATTGAGCCGTTTATTAATGCAATTACATTAAATCATTTGTTAGTAGTTAGCTCTGAATGGGCATTGCCTAAACTTACTCCAATCTGAGCAATTTGACGCCCTGGGAAGGGGACTTTGCCACTGCACCAAATGGGTGCTGAAAAAAAAAAAGATATTTTCACTTGATGTAAGCAACTGTACAACCATAATTTGTTGGACTTTCCTGTTCATATTTAGCCACTCGAGGATGTTTCCTTAATATCTCCAGTGCACGCTCCTTGACAACGCCAGTGCCCATCCCATGTATGACAAAGAGAACCGAGTGTGATTCTCTTCCAGCGATTGCCATGTCCAGGTGGAGAGCAGCTTCTTCTAATCGCAAACCTCGTAGGTCCACTGTGTTCTTTGATGTCTGCAACACTGGACCATATGAGACCCCCTCATCTTTGTTATCCTCTGAACTTCTCTGGATCTCTCCACTCTGCTGTTATATACAATCATATTCACACTCAGCATTGATAGATGTAGATTTGAAGAAAGATAAGGTAATGAATATTACAGGTCATGTCTAAAAATATCAAGGACACAGGATTTGTCTACCAAAATAGTCAAAAAACTAGGAGCTATTGAGTGGTGACTTGCGTAGGTGAGACATAAAGAAAACATCTACCCGAAATTGAGAAAGAACTGGCACGACAGATTACAAGTTCTAAGCCAAAGATATCTTTTCCAGCACATCAATACTTTAAAAGAGTACATTCCCCTAGTCTTTTTTGAATAAGTCCACACTTTAAAAGTGAATCAAGTTCTATGATGTCACATAATTCTTTAAGTAGAATGAAGTTTACCTGTCTTCTCAACCGAGATGCAGGATGAGTTCCTTCAGTTCTTTTCCTACTTGGAATGGGTCTGATGTTGCTTTTTTTCACACGGACCCTAATTTTACCATACTGGACTAAAACCGTCTCATCATCCTCAGGAACTTCGACAACAGTGGCTAGTTTATCTCCTAGTCCTTTCACATGGACTTGCTCTCCAAATTGTGGTGTGTAGCTGACATCTGCTTCAGTGACAGATGAACTGTCAGCAGGACAGTGAGCCTCAACGATGGATGCAATTGCTGATTCTGACTTCCTAATCAACGAAGTAAATTGGTCAGCACTGGCAGTTTTGAGTTGATTCTCAAACTCCCGCACTAAAGTTTCTATTTGGAACTTTGCAGCTTTCAACTCTTGTAGGACCCGTTGGGTTTCTTTTGCCTTTAGAGCTTTTTCACGCCTATCAAGATCTTCTGCCTCATCTTGAATCTTCATCAATGAAATTTAGAGGGAAATAAGCAAAATGGGTGAGAGTTAAAACAAAAGGCAAGACCAACAAACAAAACAAATTGAGTAACAAAGCTTTAGTTCAAAGAGTTCAATTTACTTCAAATTATTACAATCCAAACCACTTCCATAAAACACAAAGACCAGTTACCTTTAGCTATTTCTGTGTGTTCCTTAAATGACATTTAACTTCCAAAAAAATCACCAGGAATTTCATCCAGCTCTAAATATAATGCACTAATAAAGAAATATATATTTAAACTTCTTAAAGAAAGAATGAATTTCAAAACATAAAGCAAGGAAATTTGAGAATTGTTTCTGTGGCAAATCCAAGTTTGACCAACTAGACAGGTAGTAACAGCAAATCCAACAAACATAAGCAACACCAGAATTGACTGGGTCATGGTTCAATCAACACAGACAAAAAAGGTATTGTTGTCATTGTGAACAGTTTCTGGGCTGATCATTTGCCATCCCTGTCATAGAGCTAACATGAGGCCAAATAAATTGAGGACCTGCTAATGCTTCATTCACTTAAAGTCCACTTGGCTTCACAGAATCAAAATCAATTTTTTTTCTCAGAAATTGGTTGAAGAAAAAGAGTTGTAAATATTTATCTTCTTGTTACAGAGCAAAAGAAACAGTAGAAAACATTTAGGGAAAAAATGTAAAAAACACACCAGTAAGACATCATAAAATTATTGCAGAAATAAATTTACATAATAATACCTCAAGGTAGAGATCCATAGTTTCTGCATGAAGAGATGCAGCTCTTCTAGCCTGAACTTCTAGCCTATTCCTTTCCTCCATCAGAGACTCATAGAGCAAACCCCTCTGCTCCTGCATCTCTTCTGGCATTAACCTCTTCACCCATTGCTCTGCACGTTCAATTATATTTCCATCAAAACCAATTGACTTAGCAATGCTCAAAGCATTTGAAGCACCAGAACTTCCCCAAAGGATCCGGAAGGTGGGCTGTAAAGTTTCCAGTGAGAATTCCATGGCTGCATTCTGGAACCGAGTATCCTTATCTTTCAGGCAACTTAAGTCAGCATAGTGTGTGGTCACGACAGCCAAGTTAATACGATCCTTGAGATACTGCAAGATGCTGGTAGAAAGAGCTACGCCTTCTGAAGGATCAGTTCCACTACAAATTTCATCAATAAGAACTAGTGATTCTTCTGAGGCCACAGTAAATATTTTACAAACCCTTGATAAGTGCCCACTAAAGGTAGAAAGATTGTGCTCCAGAGACTTCAACAAAGAAACCAGAGTCAGAATTTAGTGAATAAGTGAAAAATGGAGAACTTATCAGCCATCGGCTAGATAAACTGATACCTGATGATCCCCAATATCTGCCAGAACAAGATCAAACCAAGGAAGTCTTGGACAATTCTTAGCAGGCAAATACATTCCAGCTTTTGACATAAGAGACGCCACTCCCAAAGTTTTCATAGAAGCAGTTTTGCCTCCTGTATTTGGTCCTGAGATCACAACCACTCGTGTTTTCCCTTCAATTTTAATGTCTATTGGCACAGGAAAAACATCAGATACAACTTCCAACAGATTCCCAGAAGTTGCAACATTATTTACCTCATCCAGTGGAGATGGATTCTTGGAGTTGGATGCAAGGAAACCAGAGGAACATCTTCTTAGACTGGATTCAAGGAGCAAGGGATGTTGTATACTCTCAATATCTACTGATAAAGCATGATGTATCTCTGAACCTAAAACTGGACAGGCCCCATTCATCCACATAGCATAAGCAGCTCTTGCAAAAGCTAGATCAACTTCTGAAATTCTATTCAACAAATGCTTTATATCAACTCC